CAGAGGTACGTAATTGTAAGTGGAGCAACTAGAGTAGTACTGGTGATACCAAGGGCCTCTGCTGTTCTGCCTGTTAATGCATAGTTATGTTTTGGATTTAGCTGCTTCTGATGCATAGGCTTTGCAAAATATGACACTACTCCAGTCTGTAAGCAGGTTTAGTCTTGAGGCATCTGTAGGGAATTCTCCCTGAAGTTGCAAATTCATGTTAAGTTTTTTCTTCACAGAAGGGTTCCTAATAATGTCTGGCTTTGCTGGCCTGCTGCTCATTTTTACTAAATCATCTTGCATTATAAAACAAGCCAGAGTTGAATGAAACTGGCTTAGGGTTTAATTAAAAATAACAGCCAATAATATATAGATACAGAATTGAGTCTAAGGAGACTTATTCCGTAGGAAAGCAAATGTTAGGATATGGAAAAAAGCCTTGCATTTAAAAGGAATGTCTGAAATACAAATACACATACCTTTGCCTCATTGTTAAGTGAGTGAGGGTGAAAGTGTGTCTCACACAGAGCAAAATGTTGAGGATTTCCACTGCAATTTCCAGGGAACAGCTGTATTCTGGTACAATCTCTTTCCAAGTGGAGAAGGAGATTACAGCACACGGCATGCAGCCTGCCCAGTACTAGTTGGAAACAAATGGGGTAAGTACTGCTCATGTTGTTCTTGCTGCCAGAGAACAACCTGGAGGTCTGGGGCTTTACTGGTGGGTTGTCTTGGTTTTCGTTTTGCTCTGCACTTCAGGGTGGAATAAAAAGCAGCCAGAAATGAGGTCCTTTATGGAATCATAGAATATTTTTTTTTAAAGAACTGTTTTGTAGCTATGTCTACTTCATATCTCTAGATGTTACATTTTATGCATGATATATATAGTAGCATCTTCTGTTATATATGTGTAAATATCTAAAATATATATAATGCTATATCTGCTTCAGTAGTCTTTTGTAGTTTTGCAGCTACTGGAAGTTTTTTTGCATCTTGGATTCATTGAGAAGGTTTTTTCTATCTTGGATTTATTAGACCAACTTCACATTTATGTGTGTTTGTGCAGGAAAATTAAGATAGTCCCATGCTTAACCAAAAGCTGCCGATAGTGTATATTTAGCTTAAATAGAAGCACAAGCTAACCAGGTACAGTGATCAAATACCTTTATGTCTTTGCAGTATCCAATAAATGGCTCCATGAGCGGGGACAGGAATTCCGAAGGCCGTGCACTTTATCAGAGTTGGAATGATGCAGACTTGTCCTTTGGCTCTTCTGTATTCAGTCTGTGTAAAATGCACACATCTCCTACAGTTTACAATTGACTAACACTCCACTCCAGGTTCAGTCTTCAACTCTACCAGTGTTTCATCTGTGGACAAAATATGCTTTTAGTTCCCTTAAAATACCCCCCTAAGGTTTTATGAACAGAATATATTAAGGTCTATGACTGATACAAAAAGAAAAGAAAAAGAAAAAGGACAAAATAGAGATCTGTGCCCCAGCCAGTAGTGGTGTTGTATGTGGTGTTCCCTTCACCAGCACCCCTCTCTCTGATCAGCACGGAAAGCTGGTGACTGTTTGCTCAGAGTCCTACTCTGTCAATCTTCTAAGGGTGGGATGGTTTAATGGGAGAGCTCCCTTCTAAGGAGGGCTGAATTAAACCAGTTCATATTCCTCAATTCCCAGGCATTCGACTCCTTGCTTTTCTGGAGTGCCTGACCACTGCTGTTGAGAACTGCAGGCATGGTTTGTGTTTATCCAGGGAACAGGTTATTACCATGTTTTAGTGTGGTTTTCCACTTCCAAAAAAGCCCCAGTTTTTAAATTTTCTTCCTTCTCAGCTTCTGTGGGGAATTTGGCAGTTGCGCACACATAGATGAGATGCTTCAGCAGTGTTGTCTCAAACACATGCCTGCATCAGAGCAGCCTGACAATTTCAGCCCATCTTCCCTCCATTCTTTATTTTTTATGTTTGTCCACATAAAGAAATGCTGCTTCTATTCTGTCTTAGTAGTAAACTTTTACATCTGTTCCTTGTGCAGTGGGGATGGGAATGTTACCATCTTCATGAATCAAAGTAGTTGTGCTTTAGCACACTGGAATTTTTAATTGGTTATGAGACTTCAGGTGATGAGGTGTAACACATAGTCACCCAGCAGAGAATACAGTGGTCTCCATACTCATCCTCACATTTCTCAAGGGTTTGTGGGAAATATATGGCCCTATTTATATTTCTTCTTAGATGCTTTTTATTCTGCAGCTGTTTTTCATGCTGCAGATGCTGAATGCAGGCCATTGCAGTGAGATGCTTTTAGTCACAGGGCAGCTACTTGCACAGGATGCCATAGGTTGTGCCTGCTCTGGGTGGTTTGGTATTGCTCACCTTGGGGAGACTGCCTCCACTGCATCCATGCTCCTTGCATTGTCACCTGCACTTGGGAGTGAGGAAGTGCTGGGAATGGGCCTCCTCTGGAGGCTCTGGTGCTGCTTATTTCTCTGCTGTTCGTCCCACAAGCCACAGCTGGAGTCACTCTGATTCATGCTGCCCACAGAGGAAAAGTGTCTCCAGAGTGCCCTCACTGGAAGAACTCGCCCAGTGACTGTCAGGGACCTTAGTTTGTGATGACTCATCCTTACACTGAGATGAAATTGAAACCTCTGAGGGAGACTAGGTTGTGGCTGCTATAGCTATTGAACATCTGTGCATCAGATTCCTGTGGGAACAGTAACTGCCATCCACTTATACCTCCCAGCATGGGAAGAGCTAAACAGGGTGGGTTGAGGCTTGCTTTCCTAAGCCCTTTCTCTTCAACAGCAGGGGTTTTGGCAAAATGTCTATAAATATTCCACTAGCACGAGGACAAGAACTGAAGTGAGCAGCACCAGGCATACCTGAACAGTCAGATTTTCTGTATGATGGTGGGTTTGCTCATTTAGGGGTGAAGCCTGAAGTCTTTACCAAGGAATAAATTCCAGTGTCAGCTAATTGGATTTTCTGCCTCAATACAATCTTGAAAATTGAGCCAAAATGTAGATGGAACCAACTGTTAGCTTGTTAGAAATACCTCGGGAATACTGAGAATGCAGTTTAAGGTACTAGAGATTGAGAAACTGCATACTTTGAGAAGACACTTTAAAACCTTTGCTGGAAAACACATTGTCAGATTTCTACTGAGCCTGTTAGGCATGGGACCTATGGAATTGCTTATCCTTAGCCCTGCACCTTCTTGCATTTCACCTGTGCTTTTGGCAGGTGTGAAACAGAGTCCATCCAGCACTTAAGAAAACAAATAAAAATTAAAATCAGAAATGGTTCCACCTCATGTCTGTACTTCTCTTTCATATTCAGAGTAGCTGTTACACCAGAGCAGCCTGATACAAACAGATTCACTGAAGAAATGGGTTATCAGAGCATATTTTGATCACTGAATTGTAATAATTAAACACCCAAACCTGTAACATTTCCACTTTTCTGAATTTTATCTCTTTGACACAGTGTCATCTCCATTCCTGTCCGTGGTCTCTCCCATATTTTTTACTTAAGCTCCAAACAAAGGTAACCACAGCTGCAGGTTAGTCCTGCCACTTTCCTGCAAGGAGAGTAGTAGAGCAAGCAGTGAGGTGCTGGGAGTCTGACCTTTGGGGCGCTCCTTCTCTCTCTGTAGCTCTGAAGCATCTATAACTGCTTTTGGAAAAGCCGGTCCTGCAACTTAAGGAGCACAAAAAAATCCATATATTACCACTGTGACCACATTCAGAAAACCTCTGGTTTTGCCATCACAGAAAGGAAATTTTTGTTTTCCTTCCTAAAGTGAGCAGAGGATTTACTTGACACATAAAAATAATGAAAAGTTAAAAATTGCAGAGTTTACCTGAAGTAAGCAAGAAATAATGAATTAAAAGTGTCAGTGTGACTGCTTTAGGTACTACTGTAGTGGAAAAAACACTATGGCATCCTGCATGTTGAGTGAAGAATGGTTGAACCACAGAGAAAACACAGGTTTATTATATTAAGCAGTGGTTTTTTTTCCCTCCCATCTCTCTTGAACTGGCACTAAAACCTGAAAAGCTCAAGAGAAGCTGTGCAACCTCTGGGGAAGTTGAATCAATGGTGCCCTCCCTCACCTCAGCCATCAGCGAGTACCTCCAGTCTTAAACAGCATTGTAGGAATGGTCTCTGGGAAGCATTGCTTGGGGAGTAAAAATGGTTTAGACTCACAGAATCAGCTAGGTTGAAAAAGACCTTTAAGATCATCAAGTCCAACCTTCAGTGTGTCACTTTTTAAACTGTTGAACTACTTGGTGACCTGCAGTTCTCTGGGGAAGAAAAACAGTTGTCTTTGACGGGGGGAACTTGACTTGGTCTAAAAAGAAATTCCCCCCAAACTAAAACTCCAGCCTGATGAGGCACATCATACTGAAATGTGCCAGATCACTGGAAGAGAAAGGGTACATGTAATGGTTTTAAACTACAGACAATTCTATTTCCTCCTCCACTGCAGCAGTATTCACACACCCAACACTGTGTAAAGGATTACAGGTAGTGCTGGTGCTTTCTCCCTTACCCCTTCATTTCTCAAAGGGCTTTTGGATCAAGAGCATGGCTCCTGTGTGACTCTAGTTTTGTATTAAAGATGACTGAAAACTGGCTCACAGTGACTGACAACAAATACTGCCTTACTGTTGAATTTTTGTGTAATTAAATTTTTAATGTAAAGGAAAAAAAAGGCCTTAGAATAAAAGCCACTGCCAGTAGCAGTGAAAAATCCTCCACATCAAACTCTCCTCATATATGGCTGTTGTAAATCTGATGACACATGCTTTTATCACCACGTGTTTCCTGGTACTGAGCTCATTTGTTTCACATCATCACACCAGAAAGTACTATGAAACGTTCTCGGATCGGAACCTAGTCAGTTGGAAACACACAGCACTTGATGGGCTGCTAAGGGGAAGGGCAGGTGGTAACCCTGGGCTGAAATCATGTTGTGCACAACACGTATGAAACAGGAGCTGAACTGCTCCTGGGGCAGAACATGACTCAACCACTTTGTCTCCCCGATGCAGTGATCTATGGCAGTAGCTGGTGTGGGGTTTAACACTAATGGGGAAACTGCATGAACCTCTGGTTTGAAACAAAATGAGCACAGCATAGGGTCAGCTGCTGAGAGACCCTTTTCCAGGGACAATAAATAGGTAATTCCTGGAGCCAACAGGCCAAGCAGCCAGTTACTCACGAGAGGAAGAATCATGAGCCTGTCTTACAGCCCAGACACCAACAAGAGGACAAGGAGACAGTGCACTACATGTAGGCAGGGCAGGCTCATGTCTGCCATGATCAAGACATCCACAGTCCATAATCACTGCAGTGGTTCTGTGCTTCAGAACAGGGGAGCTCGGGCTTCGTTTGTGCTCGCCTCAGGAACCTGCAGAAAGAACACTGTGAGGGCTAGTTAGAAGCCCTGAGGAAGAGAGCCCTGCATTGCTGATGGAGCACTTGCCTTGCAGTCAGGTACCTGCACTCCCTTCCCCTTGCAGCCCAGGGACACAGCTGATGTGCTCACAGTTCGGCAGCCACAGGATAGGAAATTGGTCTAAAGCATGTGAGCAGTTTTGTTTTCATTTAGAAATGTGAATTAATTCCATCCCCAGCTCCTCCTCGGTGCACGCTGCTGAACTGCTGCACCCTCACGAAGGTGGGTCAATGCCAGGAGAAGGTGAGTAGCTGGGTGGCTCTGTCCTTCTGGAGGACAGGGCTTGCTGTCTCTGAGCTTTCTGGGGTGCCCATGGGCTGCCTCCCAGCCTGGGGACACTGCATCCCCGTAGCTGCAGCAGGGCTACCTCTTTGCAAGAAGGTGTGAGGCTCATGCTGCCAGCCTGGCCACCAAGCTGCTATTGCCAAGCCAGAGCACAGGGTAGCACAGGATCCTCATGAGGTGAGATGCACCTCACAGCCTTCCCCCCGTTGTACAAGAGAGGGGCTGCCCTATTGTCTGCAGGCAGCCTGAGGCACCTACCCAGGCTTGGGTGGATTTTGCCTTCTCCCACCGAGGAAGGATTGTGGTTCATCCCTGTGCTACCGCTAACCAGCACTTACGCACTCTGGCTTCCCACCCATTCTGCCTGAGTATCAGGCTCTTCCAGCACAGCTGTAGCTGGAGCATAACCCATGGGGATCATGACCATGGGAGGAACCCTGCGTGGGTAGGAACTGCAGCAGCTGCAGCTAAACAGGGCTGAATAGGGTCAGAGATAGGGAAAAACACCTGTGAATCGCCTCAGGGCAGGACAAGAGAAAGTAAAGGGTCTGGCAGTATCAGCACCTAAAGATGGAGGGAATCAGCACCAGGCTGAAGTCATCTGTCCAGGGACCCCTGCAAACTGGACCAAAGCATGAACTTGAGTGCTTCCTTGCTGAGGGAGAGGGTTGTTAACTCTCCACCCATCCTCCTCCAGCTCTGGACTCTGACCTGACTGTGAGGGACTCATCATCAAGCTGCATTTCATCATTGAGCTGCATTTGTGGTTCTGATAACCAGTGAGTCATCTGGCTCCCAAACCAGGCTTTGAAACAACCAGACTACCCACTAACCTTAACCACAAGCTGCCTGCTCCCCCTACTTAAGCTGTGCTTAAACATCAACCAGCAGCTAACTGAGCTGGCCAAAACTTCTAGAAAGAGCTCGGATCCTCTATCCTCCCCCATGTCCCCAGCAGAACACAGAGGGAAGGATCCTGCCTAAGCCAGGATCAGCACAAGGGTCAGTGCTTGCTTTGGTCTGGCTGATAATGCAAAGTCAAGAGGGTTTCAAGCTTCATCCAGGAAGGGGCTCACTACCATTAGCATGGAGGGGACACAGGCACATCCCACTTGCAGGAGGGACATCTGCCCTGTGGGGTAGATCAACCTCCTGCCTGACAGGAGCAGCTGCCAACAGTCTGATAGTGTCATTAGGGGTGAGTGACTCATCACAGCCTGAGGACTGCTCTATATTTAATCATTACAGAGTCAGAAATGAATGCGTGGAGTCAGGAGCTGCTTACCCTGAGGTCAAGATGAGGTTCAGAAACCAGTTGTCAGAGTTCACTGTTGTGGCACACAGCATCTGAGCCTCTCAAATCTTCAGAGAGAATAATTGGCATAGGGAGGGAGTATTTTCTACCACCGTGGGTCAAAGCAGTGTCAGACAACCTGCAGGTACCTGCTGTGCACAACTGCTTCAGGCAGCCCTCACTTGAGCTGCTGCTGAGCCTGGGCAGCAATTCCCTGCAGCAACTGGGGGGGGGGGGAGGTGTTAGGCGTTTGCTAGCTTTACTCAACCCTACGTTTTTCCTAGTCTTCAGATCTTGACGTTTGGGCACAACCAAGCTATTTGCAGCTGGACTGAAAACGTCTCTGGAGACTGGTGTGGGGCCGGGTGGAAGGAAGGAGGAGGAAGGAAGGAGAGCAGCTCACCCCCGGGGCAGGGCAAAGGGGCAGCCACATTTGGGGAGAGCAGTTAGACTGCTTTTTTATTCACAGCCTCTTGCTTCAGGACAACAAGCAATGAATTCACAGTAACGTTTCCGACTCCTTTTCCCAGGCCCTGCACTCTGCCAGCTGCTCCCCCCGTCCTGATCAGCTTTCCTAACTAATTCCAATTGACTTTGCGAAGAGCCAGGGCTCCACGCTCCAGCCAGGGCCACCCCCTCCAGGCTGCATGTCCATGCAGCGGGTGGCAGTGGCACAGCACTGACAGCTGAAGCCACAGTCACTGTGTTCTGCATCCTCTGCAGTCCCGATGGTATTGGGGGGGGGGCCCCCCGCCCCGCTTCCATTGAGCAGCACATGGATCAGCCACCAGGGAAAAGGGGTAACAAACAAAGCCATGTTCTGGAATTGTGTCCAGAGCAACCCTGGAAGGCTCCACATAAAAGCATGGCACCAAGCACAGCTGCCCAGGGGCTCTGCACAGTGTTTCCGAGCCAATTCTGAAGAGCTGCTTTGCTCTTTTTTACATTAATTCCTCCAGGCTGTTTCTCAGGGCGGGGAGCACTAGGGCTGCAAACCAGCACGTCACACAGGGCAGGGACTCAGCCAGCAGCCACAGACAGCTCCTCTCATTGCAAGACACGTGTGGGACTGCTGAACCTGGTTTTCCCTTCACTGGGGCTCCCTGACAACAAATTCCAGGGACAGCAGCCCATTTCCACCCAAGACTGACTGCCCGGTCCCCACCCAGCATGGTGAACAGCTGGACAGGCCTGAGCTCTCCAGTCCTGCCCTGCAAAGTGCTCCTGCAGGGGAGCCCTCACTTCACAAGTGTCCTCACTGGCTCCCTGTTAAAGAAAGGCTCACTAGAGACAGAGACTTGCTGGTTTCCAGGCTCCAGGGAGCACACCGTGTCTAGTAGTAACCTGGCACCTTTAGCTTAATGCAGAACTTTACCCTAATTATCAACCAGGCATTACAGTGCTCCACGTCCTTGTCTGCAGTAAGGACACTGCCAGCCTCCCTTCCCGGCACTCGCTGCCCCTCTCCTTGCATTCATCTCCCAGAAAACAGAACAGGTTTGAGGTTTCCTCAGAACCTCCTGCACACCTTTTATGTCCTCTTATCCCGTAACTCAGCCAAGCTTCCTCCCACAGGCTGGGACAGTGGTGCACAGCTCCGGCTATGAAGCAGCAATCAGGGAGGCATCACACAGGTATCAGCTGTGGCTGTACACCCAAATCACCTCTGGCTGATGACCTGAGGAACCCTTGCATGCCCCGTCTGAAGGGCACAGAGCAGGAACACGGTCAGTGATGGGCATCAGGCCAGATAAAGCAAGAAGGCAGTACCTGGCTCTGGCTTCACACCACTTCACAGGAAAGGGGCCAGACAGCTTGTTTGGGTCTTTTCCCTGCTTCCTGACTTACCTGAGAAACCAAGAGTTGGCTGTGCTCTCTCCTCCTTATCCCACGTCTGGAGCACATAACACGTGGCCATACGCAGAAGGATGCAGGCAGACAGGTGCCGCACAGCTCTGGTGCTTCAGAAGTAACGATACAGCGGGGCCAAGTGTCCTTCGAAACAGTAAAACATTAGAACTTGCACTTCCATTTGCCATGTATTCAGAAGCCCCACTGCCTGGCTCCAATTGCCTCTGGGGAGTCTCCGCTCGGCAGCCCAGCCAATCACACAGAAATGGCTGCTGAAATTTGCTGCTGGGGCCCACAGAGATCAGCTGATTTGCCCATCGGCTGCACAGGGGCTGTTTCTGAGAGGCAGTCCCATGCTGGGGCACATCCAGAAAGGTTCTCATGAGCAGCCTTCCCATGCCGCTTCCCTTCCCTGCTCTTACGAGTACTTTGTGTTGTCTTTCGCTGCTGGTGTTCATGTGGTTGGTTCCTTTTCATGAATAACTTGTTTGAAGCCTCCATTGACTGCGCAGGCCCCGGTCCTGACAGGCCAGTCCTAGCCAGGACCTGCAGCTGCCCCACAGGCCTGTTACCTGACTTGGGCTTCGGTGCTGGCCCTCCCCTGCCAAGGGCCACCTATGCAACACGTTTAATTCAGCAGCACTAGCATTACACAAAAGCTGTAACACCAGCCATCTAACATCAGCCTGCAGGAGTCCCATCAAAGGCCAGTACTCATCTGCATCACTGATCCTTTAACTGGGGGGACACACCAAGGGGTCATCCTGAATGCAGTGTTTCTAAACTCAAACTACTCCTCAGCTGCTGGATCAACCCCTATGAGGCCCAACAGCACCCTCTAGCCACGGGCTTTGCCACCCTTTTCTGCCCTAGGCATGCAGGCCTGGAAAGCCCCTTCACATGACACATGTGTCATCCCTGTGTGCCCCAGGTTTGCTAGGAGCAGTCCCCCCCACAGCAGCTAGACTAGAGGGGTGCCTCATCCCACCCCATTACGTGCCCAGGAGAAAGGCAATGGGTGCTCCTCAGCCTGCTGCCGACTCGTTACTGCCATTGCCCAAGCAGCAGGAATTTTGGACAGAGATACTCTTCATCTCCCAGCAGGCTGGGGAGAGAGCAGGGCAGCCCAGGCAGTGACTCAGTGGGGCAGGCAGAGGGTCTCCCATGTGTAGGCCCGCAGTCCCTCCTGGTGCCGCAGGGTTCCAGCGGGATTGTGCAAACTCACTCCCCGGTGTTTCTGTGCGAGATGAACGTGTTCCAAACCCCTGTGGTGCACTTTGCCCTCTGACTGTGGTGACCTCGTGCCGGCTCCCTCGGCGCTGTTTAAAGTCCACAGCAGAGCGGTGCTTACCTGCCTCCCGCACGCCATAGCTCACTCCCACTCCTCCCTGCCTGCGCATCTGCCTGGCCGAGGGCTCTGGGGCCTGGATCTGGACTGCAGCATGTGGCTGCTTTTCAAGGCAGCGGCTCTGTTGCTGATGCTGGGCTTAGGGCAATGCACAGAAGAAGCAACACAGGTGAACACTGTCCACCCAGCTTCCCAGGCAGAGTCATCCTATTCAGACTGGGGCATCGAGACCATCCGGGACAGCTTTGAAACAGTTAACAGCTACTTCGACTCCTTCTTGGAACTGCTTGGGGGAAAAAATGGAGTATGTCAGTATAGATGTCGATATGGTAAGTGAACACCGCTCCTGCTGGCTCCTCTCTCCTTGCCCTGTCCCCCTCTTGCACTTTCCCTTCCCCAAGACCACCACAAGCTCCTATCCATAACGTGACCCTTGCTCTGCTCAGCACAGAAAAGTCACTGCAGAGTCACAGCTTCCCTGCTCGTGCCAGCACCAGGGCACTGACCCTCATCTTCCCCTCTCACCAAGAACTGAGAGCCTGGTCATGAAGCCACTGTGCTGTGCGCAAGGGGACAAGAGGAGAGGATATACAGGTTTTACAGGAAGGGCAGTAGGTGACCAGGCTGCCCAGACCGCTGGAGAGAAACACAAGGGTAGGCAGTGAGGCCCTGGAGGGGAGGACGAGCAGGCTGTGCATGCCTGACTCGGAAAAGGTTGTTAGTATTGCCCTTATCTCAGCAATCTTCAGAGTGTCATTGTTCAGCAGTTGCAAGTTGGTTAATAAGTGGGACAGAAGGGGAGAGATAACAGGAAGGCACACAAGACATGCAGTCAGCATGGAGGAACCTTTAGTACTAGAGGCAGAATGAGGCAGCTGCCGCTTGCCTTGGACTTTAGAATGATCTACTGAAGAGTTTGTACTGGGGTCAGGACGAAGGGGGTGACATCCTGGGGAGAGCAGGGCAGGGGACCGGGCACATAGAGGTGCAGCAGAACCTGTGTGGGAACAGGAAGGAGGTTTCTTACAGACTGTGTCCTCTCCCTATGTCCCTACAACTGTCCCCACAGCAATAACTTTTCAGTCAACTCAGCCAGCCCATCCACAGCTGCCTGCCACCTCTTCTCCCCCCAGCTTCATCTCACATCCTTTGTGATTGCCTGGGCAGGGTGCTTGTGAGCACAGAGGTGATTTCAACCCCTCTCCTTCCCTGAGCTGTGGTTTTCACAGACAAAGACTCCATGCTTTGGAAAGACCCCCCCGACTCAGTTTTGGTCAGTATGCATCCCATTTCTTCCAGAACGTGTGCTGCATGCTGTGCTGCATGTCTCCAGTCTGCACAGGGCTGTCTGTATTGCTGCCCTGACAGATGCAGCGAGGGAAGCATCTCCTGCTCCTCTCAGGCCAGCAGCAAGGGTGCTGGGAGGAACAGATGCTGCAGGGGTGGGACATGAGCTGCCTGTCAGGACAAGAGGGCAGCTGGGCTACCCTTAGCCAAAATGAGGCTTCAAAGAGAGTTTAAAATCAGCTTTTAAGTGGGTTTGGGTTTTGGATTTTTTTTGTCTTCTTTTTGTTATGTTTTGTTTTTAAATAACGTGTGTATATCTGATCTGTTCTGCTCTGCTCCCTGGGCCCATGCTAACAGGAAACTGGGAGCACCAGGCCAGGCACCTCAGCCCCACAGACCTGCAGGGAGCCAGGTGCCTCTGTCCCACAGCAGCCCTGGTCCCTCAGCCCAGGGCCTCATGATATTCCCCAGCTAGGGCTGCCTCTCCACAGCAGCTCAGGAGGGCCATGGCTGCTCTGTGGAGCCCACTGGGGGCAGTGTGCTCTCTAGGAGCACAATGTCTAAAGGAGACCCCCTGCACACCACAGCATTGCGCCAGCACACAGGATGAGCCCATTTGCCCACCAGACAGCCCATCCCAAGGCCCACATCATGGCAGCCCCACACAGTGTGTGATAAACTCCCTTTAGGTCCACACCACATTCCAAATCCAGAGCACAAGGGGACTTGCCCTTCTTAACGTAGTGACTGAAAACCCTGTAGCAGGCATAGTGTGGCTGGGACTGCTGTGGGCCTGAGGGAAGGTTTGTGAAGGCTGGTATCAGAGCTCAGTTCAGAGAGTCTCGGGACTCACCGAGGCACATCGCAAGGCTGGGGCTCTCCCTGCTCCTGCTGCCTCAGCTTTTCACTCTGGGCAGAGGGAAGAGAATCTCCACAGGGTGGTGGCACAAATGCCTGCCTGCTCCCTGAGAGCATTCTGCATCTTACTGCAGAAATGTGTTACCTAGAAAGGAAAACAAACAAGCACATCGTTAGTGCTGTTCTCATCCTCTGCTGAACAACTCATTAATCACTGGCTGAAGGAGGAAACTATTGCAACACTGCCCAAGTGACTCTAAAGGTCTTGCTGGGCCCTTCCAGAACTATTTGTCCATGCTGGTCTCTAGCCCAGACATTGCAGGCTGCAAGTAGAGGAGATACAGGGATGATCCCAAACCAGTGAGACCCTATCTGTGCGCAGAAGAATGAACACAAACCATCTTTACCATCCTTCTGCTGAATCAGGGCCCAATTACTTTTTCCCCAGGCACAAACCAAAAATTATGCCTTCTACTCCTTTCATTTTAGCTGAGACACCAATAATAGCTTATTTTGCCATAATAAAGGTAAGGACTCACCTGTGATTGCCACATCTATCTTCAGCTGAGCACACAGCACTTGGCTCTTCTGGCTGTAAGACTTGATTTTTCAGCAGTTAGTGAAGTCTGAAAACAAACAACTTGATGGATTACTCCCTTAAATCAGGACATTAGGATTACACTAGCAATTGCTGACAAATACCTCCTCCTCCTTACAAAACCTCTCTGGGCATCTCAGGGTGGGAAACAGCCTGAACTGGGGGTAAACCCCTTGACAGCTTCCTTCAGCTGTCTGGGCAGGCAGGACTTCAACATCTTGCCCAGAATTTGGTCCTGAGGGGCTTCACATGAGGAGGCACATCCAGGCTGTGCGAAAAGAGCCTTCAAAGTCAGGCACTCCAACACAGCTGTGCTACAGAGGACAATGTCTGCTCAAAGCCTGCTTGCCTGGGGCAGAGAAGTAACAATGGGCCACTCACAACAGTAAGGAGACCCAAGACCATCTATTCATCCTGAAATACATTCACTTCCCCCTGCCAGTGTACCAGTACTGCAGTGTCTGAGACCTTCTGCATGGCCAGCGGCTGTTCTAGTCAGCTGGCTGTTTTCCAGTCTCTTGGCATAGCTACAACAGCCTGAAGATATTAAAATGCATCAGGGAAACTTGCTTCCATTAGGAACCCAACTTCAGTTCTCCTCTAAGGTTGTGCTGACAAGAAAATGCCCTGGAATAAAATTCCTTGCAAAGAACAGGCTTTCTCAGCAATGCTGCGCTTTTACACATCAGCATCACTCTTCAGCATGCTGCCATGCAGGTCCTGCTATGCTTGCAGCTCTCTTCTTCATCCCAGCTATGCCTTGCAGCAAGCAGACAGGTATCAGCCTTTGGTGAAACATAGCTAACAAACAGCTAGTCCTTTCCCCCATCACAGAAGTGGCTGTAAGGATGGCCAAGAAACAGATGATAACAAGAGCACAGAGTGTATGGTCATGTAGAGTCAGCAATGCCTATTATTTCTTCTTTGCTTTTGTTTTACTGTTAGCTAGAAAGCAAGATATGGGAGAGAGGTTAATTTTGGTGACTTGGACTTTAGCTGAGAGAGGGTTCACCAAACGGCGCTTTACAAATGATTAAACTGTTTTTCAGAGAGGAAGAGGAGAGGTTTCCAACAAGGGCTTATTGTGAATGTAGTTCATGTTTTGTTGATCACAATTCTCATGCGAGATTTTTTTCCTCAGGACAACTTTCTAACACATAATAGCTGTACCTTCAGCTTAATGGAAGGTTTTCTCTGGAAACACAATTATCTCCATATCTCCAAGCAGTCCCCCTCCTACACTGAATTGCCACCTTATCCCATTAACTGACAACGTGCTGCAGAAAGATAATTTGTCAATATTACAAGCAAATCATTAAAATTTGACCCTGTCCTGCAAAACCCACCTTGGATTTTGAACTTTCCTCTGCCTCCTGCCTCAGCTCAGGAAATCTGAATTCTGAGTCCCAATTCTCACGCCCTTCCAAATGAGCAACTATGCTGTGAATTGCACCAAGACCTGGGTGCAGCCCTCCTCTCATTACATTTCTTAGGAGCCTTGGGATATAGGTTCAGACCATACATAGGTGTAATTCCTTCTCAACATAACCACCAAAATACTGTATTATGCAATGTGTCAGTAAACTCAGAAGTCACCCTTGCATCAATATAACTCAGTTACCTCAGAGTTATGTTTTGGTGCAAAAGTAATCCCATACTGATGGTATGCTGCAACCAACTGATTTGTATTCTTTGTTTACCGCTAAGACAGCTCTACCCGCTAAAAGTAACAGCGCTTTTTGCACTAGAAAATTGCATCTGGAACATGAAGCAAACCTGGCCTATTCAAAAGTAGACAGAAAGGTAAACACCATAGGTAACTGCTGTAATGAGAAACACCTTCCCACACAAATGCCATCACCTGGCGGCAGTGTCAGCTAGAGAGCTTTATCTTGGCTTGTGGACAGGCAAATCCTTGGTGCATACTGTATTTCTGTAGGGCTGGAGAAAACAGCATTGGCATCCCTCAGCTATTTCAGTTTGTTGCTCATTTGTTGCTTATTTGTTGCAAACCTGTTGTTCAACGAAAAGCACTCCAGCAATTTTTAATTAATTAATCAAAAACATGGTAGATTCATGCCTCTATTAACCACTGGTATTTTGAGGACCTGGACAGAAAAAAGGGAAAAGCATCTTAAATGATGATCACTGCTGACAAGAAGAAGACAGTGGAAACGGAGTTTAAAAGAACTCAACCCTGCCTCAGGGGCTAAATTACATCCATTTTATGTCTATTTAAATTCTGTAGTGGTGCTCAGAGAAGTAGAAACTTAGCCCTAGAGGTGATGGACTTACAAAAGGCTCAGCTCACACGCTTTTGTTGGAGTGCTCACTCAGCTTGCAAAGTTTTCTCAGAGCAGGGTTCAAATATCTTGTTTTAGCACCTC